GCTGGCAAACAGAGCAGGGGAGTCGGAGGATTTGGATCCAGACTGTTCAAACTGCAGATTTTCATCCAAAAGCAAATCATACACAAATTTTGCCTGGTATATCTAATGAACAAGAATCACAGAATGCAAATCTCTCTCTTTTTTTAATTTTTATTTTATTTTTTTCAGAACAAACCCATTTTTATTGTTCTTTCACAGGAGCAATTGCTATTTTTGGCCAGGAGAGCAGCATAAATAAAGCACCTCGCTGACAAGGCAAAGCTTGGTCTGGCTCCCTGCCAAGCAGAGACCAGCAAATAGGACTGGTCTTCAGGGCCACAGCTCACAAATCACACTTAACTAATCAAAAAAAAAATGATGATGTTAGAAGTAACAAACTTGGGAAGTGGAAGCACTTTGACTTGGATTTCTACATAATTATTGTCTCTTTTACAGGCTTGATGAGTTATTAGTGAAATAAAGACCCAGAGTTGGCTCTTCCCCCTCCTTTTTTCTTTCGTAAAACCTCATGAGCATAATAATGGAGAGCAATGATCCAAGAATAATTCAAAGAAAAAAAGTATTTTTAAAACCAAAATATGGTACCGTGATAGTCTCTTCCTCAGCATGCATGAATTCACAAAAGCATTTTACACCCATATAATGCTTTTTACATTATATGAATGGTCTAGCTACACATACAACATTGGTATGACGACGCCAATAGAAAAGACAAGTCAGGGCCAAGGCATTTCCAGGCATATTACTCAATTCAAGACTCTGTAGAAGCAGAACATCTAACATGGGCCAAGCTTTCATGCTCAAGACCTTCCTCCTAAATTCACATTTAGGCAAATAAATAAGCAAATAAATCCAAATTTAAAAAGTAAGTCTCCCACTAATTTCACGAGGATCTAGATCCTTAAAAACTTATTCTGTGCAAAGGCCTAAATATAAAAGAATAGAGTTAAGGCTTCCATTTTGAGCTTAAAGCATCACCAAAATAAAGTTTGTCCCAATTAACAGCATCCCACTAAGAGAGCATAGCCTGAGGGCTTTATGGACAACATACAAAAAAGTCTCATGTCTCTTTTTAATAAACTATCAACTGAATTAGAAAAGATACATCAAAAATAGTGCTTATGCAGCTCCACATTTTATTCTCACACTTCCTATACAGTATGCATATATCCCTATACAGTATAGAAATGCAGTACTACTTCTAGATTACTTCTAACTCTTTTTATTCACTTTAACCCCTTGAATTCCAGCTCATGCACAGCAGGCAGAGGCAAATCCTCTGGAACATACAGGTCTGAAAATAAGTATTGGTCCACAGAGACCTATTTATATTATAGACAACCCCATAGTCTGCGATGCAACTGGTCATTAATGATTAGCAATGGTAAACATCTTAAGATGAAAAAAAAGAAATCCACAACAAACTTTCAATATTTTCTTTCAAGTAAAGGACCTCCATCTCAATTTTTGATTTCTTCTTTTGGCAGATTAGGGCCATGCAGCATTTCCTACTCCCATAGTATTCATGTGAAAGAAACCATGAACACTGTTGAACCAAGACGTCTTGGCAGATAACTAGTATTGAGAGAGAGAATGATACTTGTTTAACTTCTTCTGCAGCTTTTGCATTCAGGCATGGAGGAATTGAGTATCTAAATACGATCTAGTGTTACTCAAAAAGCAACTAAGTCAGCCCTAAAACAAATTATTTTGTGTACCAGTATAACAGCAATGCAGAGCTTCAACTGCAGCATTCACGTACCCAGCGATGACTACGGTTTTTAAGCCAACAGTTACCACAACTACTCAAAGTGAACAGTAGAGAAGAGTGTATCCGACCATAATACTACACTGTGATATTCCTCCCAGCTTGAGGGGGTAAGCAAGCACTATCATGGGGCTATAAGGCATTTTTTATACTGAATTTATGAGCTCATTATACCAACAGTCGTTCTCAGAAGCCAGCGACTGGTTTATTAGCAGATAGCCTGGGGTAAAATTGAAATCATAGACTGGAGGAAGGTCAAGCGCAAAACACTGCCAATATTCAGTATGCTGACACTTTGAAGCACAAAAAATTTAAGTAAAGCAAGTTGGGAAGGAAGACTTAAGCATCACTGTTATAAGTACCTAAATAGGGACATTTCAGGAACAGTAATAGGAACAACACTGATTTATAGCAATTTTCATTTGCAAAGATTCACTTGCTTTCGAAGACTAGCTTATGCACATATGGGATTGAAAAATAACTACTTACCCTGAAAATTCACAACAGACACCTATTGCTAGAGCATAAATGACAGCAGAGCTTTTGCACAACAGGTTTAAGCTTTCACATGCTTAAGGTTTTGCTACAAATGTTTAAGGTCTGTCTTGTTTCTTATCTTAAAAACTCCCACTTGCTCTTTGCATTAGTCCTTGTCAAACCGCTTTAATTAACTTGACTATTACAAGGCAAACCTTAAAATGTAGTCAAGTAATCACCAAAGGGCACTGGGCAGGATGCAGGCAAGAGCCAACAGGTTCAGAACTGTTCTGTGGCAACAGAAGGAAACTGAAATATGTTCTGTGGGGTTCTGGGTCATTCAAAAAAAATCATAAACATGAAATATTTTTGAGATTCAGGGTCAAAGGGAATGTTGGATCATCTCTGTTATATATCCCAGATGGCTAAATTTCAGACAGCAATGTTCCTTCTTTGCGAAGGAGCATTTACCAAGAGTCATATATTCTGAAGGATATGTGGTATGGATTCAAGCGAATCAAAACTGAAAACACAGCAAATCTGCCAGAATCCAGCCAAGAAAACTAGACGAGAATTTTCATTGTATCTTTAATGACCAATTTACTCAATTATTCACAATAACTGCCTGATTCTTTAATTGGAATTTGTGTGGCTTTTATTTTAAGCTGCTGGTTCTTGTCATGTGTTTTTCTAGGAGACTAAAGAGCCCTGTCACGATAAGTAGGCACAAGTAAACACACAGTAATGAGCAGAAGACGTAGACAGCTCAAGAAAAAGCTGAATTTAATACCTGATCACAGAACAGCAACAAGTCAAACATGACGCAGTACTCTAAAGACAAATACATTGAATTATGACATGTGGTTTCTTCTCATCTTTTGGGTTATACCAACTGTGTATGTCCACATACACGTGGACTTTATCATGCAGACAGACTGGTTGGTCTGAAAAGTGCTTCTGAGATGTTCTAAGTAGGTCTGAAATTCACCAGCATTTTTAATTCATCCAGATCAAAGCACCGATTCATAGTAGTTTAATTGCTACAAACTGGGATGTGACTGTTATCTACAAATATAGCAATGTGGTAAATACAAAAACTAAGATTTTTAAAAAAGGAGATATGTTAAAATGATATTAGCCACGACAGTAAGTTACCCTGCAGAAGGGGAGCCCCTCACTGGGCTTTCTTCTTGCCTCATCCCTAACGAGCAAAGTTTACAGATCTTGGAAGAAACCAAATCATACTTTTATCTGATGAATTTCACTTGTAAATATGTGATCTTATCTTACTATAATTCAAGTAACTAGAAACAAATTTTGTAGTCTTCCTCCAGAGCTTTACCTTGTTGGATGTTTCAGCATGTTTCTCCTATGGATTCTCTACAGATTTTCTCTACCAAACACACTTGACCAAAAATGCAGTGCTGGTGAATAAGCCACTCTTAGAATATATATCTAACACAGTTAAGTGTTAACTTCAAGTTATGGGAGGTGAATAATAGTCATATAAGCCAGGCTCAGTACACGGGGGCTCCTTAGCAAATGTGTTTTTGACCACCTGCTTTGTGTTTCAATCACAAAATATCAATTAATTAAGTCAAAATGCATCTCCAAAACCTAAAGAGGAGAATCAAATACATGTGTGTTTCCACAAGGCAGCTTCTCTGTACGCCGCTGAGAACAAGTTCTTGCTCTGCGGCTCTCCAACACCCTTGTAACACCATCACACAGATCAGTGTAAGCTTGTATGTTCATGGTTGCCAGGGCAACTGGCTGACAAGCAAAAACTGCTCAAAATTACTTTTTTTTCACGTATTTGGTGCACTGAGAGTCTACATTTTTATTCCACTTTCAAAAAAAAATTCCCCTGGCCTCCCCAAATCAAAAGTTTTAAATAGGACAGAAGTTCTTGCTTCCATATAGTTCTAAATTTAATTTAAAACCCATGCTGTCTTTTCTGTATACAACCCAGATCTTTTTTCTCAATCATATTGATTCATATTGCTGAGAAATTGGAAATACCTCACCATGCCATAAAATACCTGAAGAAGCTTTGCTAGTATTTTATTAGCTCTCAAATGCTATCGCTATCATTTTGTAGTGGAGAAACGAGCAGTGATGAGTTAGAGTACTAATGGCCCAAAAAGAAACATATTGACAAATAAAACATGTTTATCAATCGGAGTTGTAAACAACCTAACAGCAAAGAGAGCAAGTTCAGATGCAAAGCGAGATACAGCAAAGGAAACAAAGCTACTGTTTGAGTCTCTGCCAAAAATACAAGTCAAATATTGCAGCATGCAATGTAATACTCGTTAAACTCTGATGGAACATATTAATGCAGAAGACAGATCCATAAAGGAAATGTATCAAATATTGAACGGCATGCAAAGCATTCACCAAAAACATGTAAGATTAAGTCCCCTCAAATGTTTGCAAGGTGTAACTCCTTCAATGCAAGGAAGTCAACAGCTCCTAAAACCCACATCCCTACAGAGGATTTTGTATCAAGAAAAGAGCATGAGGTGAAGCACCACCAGATGCTTGGCTAGACCCTACCTACAACCAGCACATCTGCTCTTGGGTTACTTTTTTGTTGGTTTTAACATAAAAATCCAAACACATATCAACTATTTAAGAAAACAAGAAAGGAAATACTTATGAGGAAAAGGATCCTTTATTTTGTAAATCAAAAAGCAAACCATAGTGCAGCACAATGAAAACCTAATCTTTCATTTCTGTTGGTGCCACTTACCTTCACATGACTGAAATCACCAGCTTTGCTGCCTTCTGATGGATTGATGGGTTTGGTCTCCACTCGTGGCTTGACAACCTGTCGGAAAGGACTGGAAAGTGGAAGTCCACTAACGCTGATTCCATCTAGAAGAAGAAGAAATGAGATCAGTTTACTTTTTTCTTTCAAATATTGTATTTTATTCTTATAAATCTACACTTGTTTTACCAAAAAGAGGAAAAATACTCAAAATGAAATATTGTCATTCAAAACGAAAAATATTTACAAAATAATAATTATTATACTCTGCTCTAAAAGACTAATAAAACAAAAATATAGCTAAAACTTGATGAAGTTCACAGGAAAAGGAGGAAACTGCATGTGAAATATCACAATAGAGGTTTCAAAGAGTCCATAATTCAAAACTAATTTTAATATTTACAATATTGCAGCACAATAGAGAAAGACACAAGTTTGTGCTTCGCGATGGCAGGGACCACACCAACTACTTAATATCTTTGACAAAACATTTGTCATTTTCATGACAAAATGTCCCCAGTAGCATCTGCTCAATCAACCCAGAGCATTTAGAGCTCTTCAGAAGGCCAATCACCCTTCCAGAGTCCAATGAAAGATGGAATCACATGCACTGACATGCTGCAGACTTGAGAAACAATTAAAAGTTCAAATACATCTGAACTTACTGAACATGTAGGTGATGGCTTTAATATTATTGAAATTAATAACATTATCTTCTAAAAATCCATCCTATTTTCATTTTCTATTCATCCTATTCTTTCATTTCAAAGTCTAATGCAATCAATGCTGTATTTGAAACTTTTTGCTTAAAGATAGTGGCACTCAAAAGTTTCTTTCAGCACAGAGTCCAGGACCAAGCACTTTGTTGCACTTACAATGACTCACCTCTTCACAACTGACTTCACAAGGAGCCTCTTTTGCCACAGGATAAAAAATAATTAATGTTTTCCTACCGGTGATTATTAAGCCCTTTTGCTTCTTTGATAGGCAGCAAAATATTAGGTATTGTCCAGCTCCTTTACAGTACATTAAATTGGAAAGGCCAGCACAGACTGGGGAAACACATTTTTAATGGCAATTGTGCACTGCAGAACTGAGCAATCATAGAAAAAAAAAGGCAATTGAGAAGTTATAAGATCCTCAGTGAACTAGCTCACCAGAAGCTTTCAATTATTCCATATTTATACCACATGAGTTTTCAGAGCGTAAATACAATTTGTTTTCTTTTGCAATGTTTGGAGCTTTTATTTATTTTTATATTTATTTTTAAATATATTTTTTAATATATTTTATATTTTATTTTATTTATTTAGGGCTTTTATTCCTTCGTCACGGCTTTGCTTTAATCATCTTTTCTTTCCAGAAATCCTTCTAATTTCTGCAATCCACATTGGGTATTTCCATGGAAACAGCACATAACCAACACTTTTTCCACAGTAACTGGAAAAAAGAAAAGCATCTTGCTTTTCCAGCATCCCGGTCCTTTCTGTTGTAATAAGGCAAAATCTCTGCAGACAAAATCTCTTCCCTCAAATGTTACATAAATTGTCAATTTAACTTCATCAGCTGCCTTCACAGCACACTACACTGAAGAAACCCACACATTTTCACAGGCGAACGAGGAAAATTTTACTAACGCAGTTAAAGTTGTCGGTTCACGAGGCAGCACCCGCAGCAGCTCCCAAAGGAGCTGCCGTAAAAACTTTGCCCCTGCTCTTTCGACACCTCTTGGCCCCAGTGGCTGCAATACTGTTTTGCACAACGTTCACTGAACTTAGCCAGTTGACAAAAATATGTATTTTTTCTTAATAAATCTGTAGCTAGAGAACTCCCGAACAAGCTTTCCACTGAAGCCACAAAATCCTAAAGCCCTCTGTATCCTAAGGCACTCTACAGGTAATTGGCAATACAATGTTAGACAAGATGCAAAACACTAAGATTTTTATTTAACTTTATCCTTTGCAGAAGAAATTATTGCTTATCCTCAAATAGCCGCACAACTCACCTATTGCTCTTTCCTAAAAATGGGAGAAATACTTAATACTAAAAACTATCCCAACACTCTAGCAACTTCTTTCTTATCTGAGTGCTTTTGGTGTGTGATACAGCAAGCAAAGCTACTTGCCAGAATGTTTCAAAATTATGCAATTCTGGCATAAAATATCATTCTTAAAAACTAAATGCGCACTCAATCCTTTTGTTTATTTTGTCAATCTTGGGGTGAAAAAAAAATCCCCGACTTCATTACTTGACAAAAATTTCAGCCTACTGCTAGGCAAGAGTTCTCAATAATATTGTAACACTTTTGAAGTCCTTTCAGCCACAGAAAAAGGGCCAGAACAGTTCAAGATCAGAGACAGACTATGTCTACTCAACAGGGACATGCCTGTCTTCCTCAAAATAAAACATTAAACTTGCAGCCTACTTGTAGCATACACTAATGTTGCAATTTCTGGCTCAGTTAAATTGGTACTTTTTTTTTTCCTCATTATAATTTGCTCAAGGTGTGCAATGGAATGAGCACCTAGTCAAGACTTCATCTCATCTGAGAAAAATAATAATATTTAATAATAGCCAATAGCCAACTAAGGGTTCCTTCCGGCGGACGACAAACCACCTAAACTAGTGTTGGGAAGTTAAACTTGGAGTAAGGAAGAATATCAAAAAAAGAAGCAAATAAAGTGTAAGGAAATTCATAATCATAGACTGGAAACTACTTAGGCACATGCCATTAGGCACCACAATAAAGCACCTCAGCAAAGAAGGAGCATGATAGGACATTTATGGGATGATGGGACAATTAATCCATATGTTCCATTAATCAGTTTATTACTACTTGCCTCACTGCTGTCCTACCTATTTATTTTGCAGAGATTTGCCTGCACTATTTCTCCTGACACTTACATAAAGGTCGGTACAACTGATGCTGGCTATCGTCTTATGGCTCCTTACACACTATAAAAAATAAGAAAAAAATACATATACCAGGCAAATTATGAGGAAAATTAGATTAAAAAGCAACTGGAAGAGCAAAAGGATTACTATCTTCAGCACTATGAACAATGTTTTAAAAAAAAATCTATAAGGACAAATCCTAAAAATCTGTAAGGACAAGTTCAAAACCAGATGGTTCTAGTTATACCTCTTCTATAAGTGATATATGTGTAGGGATATTCTAAGTGGCCACAAACTAATTATGAAACCAAAGCATTTAATTTAATCAGAAATGCAACAAAAATGTTGAAGATCAGAGTTTTCAGAAACAGGCTCTTGCTTTTCTGCAGCTTCCCCAGGGAAGGGGAGACCCATGGCACACATTTGCTTCTCTGGTATCATGAAACCAATTATTTTCTTGGATGAGTTTATGAATTTGATATCCTTGCATTCATCTTTACGCTTCCTATATGCAGAATGAACACTAACATTTTTACATAATGAAGAACTTATTACAGACTCATTCATTTACTCTGCAAAATATTATCTGCACATAGGCTTTTTTTTTAATGACCATTTCCACTGGCAAGCTACCATTTATAACGCAATCCAAAGACAGCAAATTTATCCTATTTAGTAGAGGGGAGGCACGGGATTTCAGAAATCAGGTTATAATGCCTGGGAAGGAGAATTCACTGGCATTGTGTGAGCATCTGGTTCATCTCTTTGAATTAACAGGTCAGAAAGACCTTAACACTGAAGCTCCTTAAGCCTGGCTGTACCAAGTAAAGACAGGGCTGGCTCTTGTTTTGCTCAAATCCATGTGTCTTTAGAAGACCGGCCTGGTTGTTCAAATGGAGAATTTCCAAAAAGCAAATCAAGATAACTCTAGACTTTCTGAATATGAAATACAAGTCTTAAATAGACTAAGACGCTAAACAATTCCATTGTCTTCATCAAATCCAATGATATTTTAATAATAGCAGTTGGTGACCCCAAATTCTCACCACGATCACATTCAGACTCTGTCCCAGCACTATAATCTAGGTTTAGAGATGCACAAAATGCATACAGAAGTCACTATGCTGAAGGAAATCGTGTGTAGCAGAGGATTTTGATCTCAGGGATGACGATCGCAGATTTCTTGATACTCTCAAGCATGTAGTATTAAAAAAAAAAAAGTCTGTCTGCAATTTCTCACTGATGTCATGCAGGAAGGAGTTCATAATGGAAGCAGAGCACAAGGCTACGTTAGAGTGAAAACAGCACAAAAAAGCAACAGAAGTTTTAATTTCCCACATCCCAGCACAAGAATCTGATGCATATGGCTGGTAAGAGAAGTTCTTTTAACTTTCCTTCTACTGCCTTTTTTCACACCCCCTTTTGCCCAATACAGACTGCCAAAATAGAGCTGGAATCAGATTTGAGCAAGTGCTTGTGACAGGAAGATCTTAGTGTACTTCAGTCTGCACGTGCAGGAGGGTAAAACTGCATCCTCAAATCGTGCTATTCTAGCAAACTGATCCAAAACAAGGAAAAATATAAAAGAGTTCGTGGCCTTGCTCACTCCTACCCACTTGCCTTCTCCAAGCTGAAGCTGTCACAGTCCAGGTGAGCACACGCGTGGACCCGAAGCAATTTCTTTATTTGAACCACTATTCACTTACGTGTCTGCATCAATTTTAATGAGAAAGGGCTGGAATTTTGCAGGCAATTAAGAGTCTTTGGGAATTCCATCACTGCTTCTTGAGGCAGTCTACACAGATAATTTGAATGCTGAGGTTCTTACATACAAAGTCCCCAAACTGTTCTTAGTCACTCTGAATGGATGTCAGACACGGCGGACACCTCCAAAGGGCACTGCTGCCACTCAGTTGTGCTTCTTCTCAGCCAATTCAGTTACACAAACTTTGACCATGAAAGGGGAAAACCGCATAGAATTTTAATAGAGGACAAGCTAAGTCAGTTAAAGCCAGTTTCAAACTGTACATGAAAAGAGATTTCTCATTCTGAGAAAAAAAAAAATAGACGTCACTGGACCTGTTATGAAAGACTGAAAAATGACTGTGGTGCTTTTTATATGATTATTATCCAAAATTATTTCTCTAAGGTGTATTGCTGTCTGTCTGAGCACAGAGATAAGGCAAAGGAGACTGAAAGCTGGTCATGAAAATCCAAAAACAAGAGCAGAGAGAGGGAAGAGAGAGAGTGAGCAACTTTGAGAGGCTGCAGAAGGTCCTTGTGAGATTTAATGATGGGGCAATACAATGTCAAGTAAAATTCAGTATAAATTAATGGGGAAAAAACAATCCTGACCTTACATGTGAAACAATAGGTTCTCATCATTACGAGGCAGGAGCAAGACCTTGGAGTTATAGCTCACAAGCCACCAACTCCATGCTGGAGTGGCCAAAAGAGCAAACTATAAGCTGTGTGTTAATGTAAGGGAAGCAACAAAGAGCAAAATACAGAATATCTTTAGGTCACTGATGAAATCCATAGATCACACACCTCACCAGGACTGTGTGTAGGACTAAGCTGCTCTCAAGAGTACAGAATGGAAAAAAAAAGAAGATTCGAAAGATACAAGAACTGAAAGGAATTAGGCTCAAAGTTGACAAAAGGACTAATTTAGCTGTGGATCTTCTTGTCTCAGGATGCTGTGCAGAGCTCCAGGGAGTGACTGGAAAATTTTATTAAAGAGAAAGCCAGGGAGAATGAGTAACTACAGAGAAACCATGTCAGGCTCAGGAAGTTCCTCAGATGACAACAGTTGGAACCCATGAGCAGTAAGGGAAAGCAGGACGATTGCTCTCAACTTTCCCTATATTCTCTCCTAGATGTCTGATCTTAGCCATTATTACAGCCAGGATATTGCACTAGATGGACATTTGATCTGATCCTGCACAGTCACCTGTGTGGTGTTGCTTCCTTTAATCTAGAAGGACACCTAACACTTTTCTTTAGCAGACAGTGTACATCAACACATAAAAATCACATCAGCAATTCTGATCAACGACTTAATTTACCTTCCAACTGAATAACTACCATCAGAAATATCTGTAATTTATCTCTTTGTGCCATAGGCCACTTACAAACAGCGTAAAAGGAAGCAATTTCAGCATCAAATGACTCAAGATCAAAGTAACAGACACCCCAGGAAAGGCATTACTTTTAAAAGACAAAAGTATTCTGCTCATCACTGAAAATCTGGGATTTAAAGAGAAAGGTATCATAGCTACCGTACATTTAACATTCATACTGTCAAAGTCGTTGGCTTTGCTAGCATGTTATAGATGAACATATCAAGATCTTACCTGCTTCTTTAGAAAGTACAAGATACTTATGAAATGTTTATGAAATATTAAAATCTATTTGGAAAAGGTGCATAAACCATTAGGAAAGGCAATGTATGTAGTATTTCTATTAACACTCTCAAACTACACACAGTGCATGTCATCTGATGATACCAGCAATCAGATCTGCCTTGCTTATTCTGGGAATATGTTGCACAGATTCACATTTTATGGAATTACTGAATCCTTTCCGGTCAAGGGTGAGAAAAGCCCTCAAAAGTCTGTTTTTTGACATCTGTGTATTTTTAACAATATCAAGACAACTTATTTCCCTCTTTAAAAATTGACCAAGCTTTGCAAAAAAGTTTTAACTATCAAATTCATAAAAAAAAAAAGAGGAGGCAGAGGGAGGCAAGAACTAATCAAGGAACATCCGCATTTTTAGTTTAAAATCAGAAAAAAATAAATGTTTGAAAGTCAATCTCAAGCTTTCCCTCTCACGTTTTCCACTCATTCTTCGTTTAAAAATTATAGTATAATAACAATTGAGAAATTGAGTCCTTCAAAAATAAAGCTTGCGGCAGCAAAATGGTGGATATTGTGCACTTAAGCTCCACAGTATTTTGACAAATTATCTATTTTACACCAGGTAAGTTTAAAAAATAAGAGGTCTTTTAATCTTTACCAACAATACCTAAAAGAACTTGTAAGATAATTCAAAGAACTCAGTCCTGTTCGCTTTGAATAAGCTATGTATATAATGATTTGCTTTATTTTTCCACACTGATCTTTTTTTTATAATTAAAAAAATATTATGCATAGCTGCAATTAGATCCTGGAAAAGAGTCCAAATGATAATTATGTTTTTATTTATTAAAGTAGAGGAACATCTTGTTTTCTCCAATTCATTCAGTGCAACTAAATCTGTTAGTTGGAAAAAAATAAAGACCTAAATATACAGAGCACAGGAAATACTCTGGTAAGATTTTGTCTTCTAACGAAGAGAAAATCTTTAGCACAAGTATCTGATACTTGTCATTCTGGATAATTCTGGTACATGCAAGCATTATCTTTTTTTGATTCCAAAGAAATATGAGCTTAACCACATAAATCTTTTTTTACATTATGGATATTAGGTGGATTATGCTCTGTCTTTCAGTGTGTCACTGGCAAAATGATGCCAGTCAGGATGAAGAATTCTACAATATTAGAGAACTGAATAATTAACTTAATAAGTATTATCTTTGATGACCACTGAAGTTTGCAAACTATTTTTCTTGGCTTTCATAGGATAAAGATACCACAAACAGACACGTCAATAAGGATCTGTCAAGAATAAAAAATTTATCAGGGCAATATCTCATGACAAGAAAGTTTGGCCAAATTCTCATGTCCAAAGCTGTCACAAGAATCAATACTCCTAACTAAGAAGAGATTTAAAAACTCACCATCACTGAGATCTTGCAGAAGGTTTTCTTGGCAGGAAAAGTCCAGCTTCACTTTAATATTCACAGTAAACGTTGCAATCTTCCCAGGTTTTAAAGGAAATTGGGAAAGGGTTTCTTCTAGATTCCAACTCAAGAAATCACCATACAGCTTCTCTATATTAAACAAACAAACAAAAAAAGAAATATTTCATGAGTGTAACAATGCTGTTAAGAACGTTTAATTTTATTACTGTTACACCACTATTATTTAACTGATTTGTCATTGTCTGTTTAAATTCTAAAGCATTTAGAATTAACGCATTAAGAATGAATTTAACAGTAGCAAGCTATAAGAGATGTTACTGATATTAGCCTGAAAACATACTGATCACAATGCTCAAAATATCAGTTTAGCTCAACACACTCCTAGAAAAAAATATTTGACAATATGAAATATTGCATGAAATATAAGCTCTGAATACAGAATACGGCCTTATGGGAAATTAAGAATTTGTCTAGTTTTCAGTGAGACCTTCTATGCAAAGCCCATCTATGAAATCGTTACACCGATATTAGTTAGTTAGAAATCTGGGCATCATGGTGGACGACAAGTTGACCATGAGGCAGCAGGTGCCCTCGTGGCCAAGAAGGCCAATGGGATCCTGGGGTGCATTAAGAAGTGCGTCTCCAGCAGGTCGAGGGAGGTGATCCTGCCCCTCTACTCAGCCCTGGTGAGGCCACATCTGGAGTATTGTGTCCAGTTCTGGGCCCCACAGTACAAGAGGGATGTGGAGCTGCTGGAGAGAGTCCAGCGCAGGTCCACAAGGATGATCAGGGAGCTGGAACATCTGCCCTATGAGGAGAGGCTGAGGGAGCTGGGCCTGTTCAGCTTGGAGAAGAGAAGGCTGAGAGGGGACCTGAGCAGTGTATATAAGTACCTCCTACTGTGAGGAGGATGGTGCTGGCCTCTTTTCACTGGTGGCCACCAACAGAACCAGTGAAAACGGTTGGAAACTGAAGCATCAAAAGTTCCACAGGAACTTAAGGAAAAATTTCTTAACAGTGAGGGTGACAGAGCACTGGAACAGGCTGCCCAGAGAGGTTGTGGAGTCTCCTTCTCTGGAGATCTTCAAAACCCGCTTGGACGCAGTCCTGTGCCACGTGCTCTAGGTGTCCCTGCGTGTGCAGGGGGGTTGGACTAGATGATCTCCAGAGGTCCCTTCCAACCTTAAGCATTCTATGGTGAGTAACTCTGACACAGCTGTAACATCATTAGATAGTTAGTCACTGAGCACAGGAGAAAACTGGAAAGACTATTCCCTATCAGATTTTATGAAAATAAAGTTCTTCCTCAAAATTGAGATGCAGAAAGATATACACTAGACCCAAATAGTAAGGATGCTGCCAGACAAGATTAGATGCATTAAAAGATATTTCTGTTATAAATTATTTACCATTGCTCCACATGAGAAATGACATCTAAAATTATTAGTTCCTCCTACATCTGAAGTGCCAAGAAGTATACTGAGGAAAAAAATCCAGTATTTATTCCTCATGAACAGATTAAGATGCTCTACCCAGTTACACAATCTCTTCAGTACTAGGTCTCGTTTGAAATGAAGAGCAGAGAATGTCCATTTCAGGAGGAAAATAATGTTGTTTTAAGTCATGTGCTTTTTCAAACTTGAAGTGTGCCAAAAACTAAAATAATGGGTATTTACATACCTTCAGCAAAAGCAATCAGGTATTTTATTAGTAGTATTAGTGTTATTATTAGTAGTATTAGTAGTAGTAATATTTAGAATGATATAGTAACACAGTAACTGTTTCCTGAATTAATAGTACTTCAGACACTAAACAGGCATAAGAAATATTTGCTTTTTATTTCTCTAATGCACTTCAGGAGTGATCTTGGATTTAAAAAAATCACTTAATTTCTTAGTGCTCCACTTTTAATCCTTGAATTTATTAATATTTACAAGAGTGTACAACAATGAGCACTGCAGAAATCTCTTAATATACATGAAGTAAACGTGGCATTTTGACTGGATGCATCCTAAAATGATATTATTAATTTATGATAATACATAGCATTGCAAAATATACTAAAGGCTTCTTCTACAGGCTCATACCAGCCTCCTGTGTTATGTATGGGCATTTCTGAACCTTTCAATAAAATTCACCTATGTGAACTACTCTAGGGTAGGAAGATTGCCTCAACATATATAAACTAGAATGAAAGATCTTTCAAAGAAATCAATTAGAAGTCCTGCTCAAAAAACTGTTATTTTGCATTTACCAAACAAAAAGCAAGTGCACAATTTTCCATTTAATTTCAATTACATGCTAACTGTATTTCCTGAGGCATATCTTTCTTGCAGACCAAATTGTTGCCTTGTTACTCTACTCTAAAAATCAATACAATGGGCTTCTCTAGAAAAATGAAGATGAGATAAAAATAAAAATTCCTGGTAGTAATTCTGTTTCATTAAAGTCACCTCCCCCTATTCTATTGATTAGCTGTGACCACAGCATTCTGATTTTATTTTCAAGAAAAGGAGGAGGAAGTTCAACAGGTACAGCTATCCCTTCTTCCTGATGAGTAAAGGGATGCTAAAGGGATTAATTTTCCTCAGCTGCAGCAGAGAGGAATAATATATGACAAAGGTGGGGGGGATAAATCCAGTTTGAGGAACAAATTATTTCCAAAATGTAATTTCATCTAAGGGGAGATTTGAAGACATTACAAGGGAAAGGACTGCTCAAGTGAGAACAAACGCCATATGAGAGCTTACCCACAATCTAAATTCAGATTCACTCTGAACAGAATTTAGGGTCGTAAAGCCATTGCACATGAGCTCTTTGCACAAAGCAACTGCATCAAATCTCAGATCTTTTGAAAACCACCCTTCATAAAACCATTCATCCTGTGACTGGAATAAAAGTTGGTAAGAAATGCAAAAGACCATGAAGATTGGTGTCAACCAGTGTGGACAAGGAGGAAGAGTCAGTGAGAAAGCCTGACAGCAAAACCACAGCAGGTAGGACTGACTGGGGCAGGTTCCCCTTTGCCATATAACCCAACTCCAACTTCGAAGGTTGTTTTTTGTTGTTAACAAAGGCAAGCAGATATATTCCAGGATATTCACAGTCCTTAAAAAAATCAGTTACCTGGACCCACGAGTGGATCTCTCACTCATGGTCTGAGCATCATTAAACAGCCATGACTGCAAGCGGATGCGTTCAGAGACCATGGGAAGAATACAGCTAGACAGGTGAATTAATTTCTTTCCGTTTAAATTCCAGAGGTCAATCACTCCTAAGAAAGATCAATGAGGTTTCGCTTCATCATGCAAGCGGGTGCTCACTCCAGAATCTTAACAAGCTGCCCGGCTGGTGAGAACACCTGGCACCCTCTCCTCATGTTTGAAAACATCACTGGGAAACGTCCCCCCGGGTGCACCAGATACCTGGGCTGTCAAAAGGTTTTAGAGTTGAAAATCTAAGAACTGCAGCCAAAGGAAAGAGAACAGGAGGGAGATGTGGTTCTCAGAGGATCTCATTAACAGGAAGATATGGAGAACCACAGTGCCAGTGAAATGAGTTCACCCAAGAAAGGTGACAGCAGAGACCAAAAGGACCACATCAGATGAGACCAAGGATGGCGGCAAGCTCCCTGAATTTGGAAGAGAGGAGGTGACATCTCATGGGCTCCCAAGGTGATGGGGAGTTTGTTGGCTGTGGCAGGCAAAGACACGTAACAGAAAACCTTGAATCATCTGCATCACAGCCATATTTCAGCTGAGGAGCAACAACCATCTGAGACTCAACTTCCTAAGGTACTACAGACAGTGCGGAAGCAAGTACTCTTAACTTGAGATATTATATCATTACGGTACTTAATACTGAGTTCACAGCTTGGGCTCCTTGTAGGACAGCTTAAACTAGAATCCACATCTTTCCACACGTGCAGTATTTTCAGCCTACAGAACACGTTCATTGACCAAACGGAGTTGCTAGCATGTCCAATTTCTTGTTCTCCGTTAACCCTGGCACTCTGCTTTCCTGCACTGTGTGGCGAGTCCATCTTTATGTGTTTTTGTTGTTACAAGAAGCGCTACACTAAAATGAAACACAAGAGTTCATGAAGAAAAGGCAAGGCCTTTGCAGCACTTGCACAAAATTACTTATCATAATTATTTCATTCACTAATATTGGTTCTTTTACTCTGGATAGTCTTTTTCAGGACTTTATGTGAGATGCAAACCATACGGTCATGTAATTAGGCACACTTAATTTAAATACTTATTTTTCCAGAACAGAATTTTTCCTCACTGAGTGTGCAGATCCAAATACGGGGGTTTATCTCACTTCTGTGAGCAAGTAAAGGAAATGAATACACAGAAATGAGTTTGCAGAGGGACCCCATTCCTTGCAACATCTCTACTTAACTATGTTATCTTATTGAATGAGTATGATCCTGTAGCGTCCATTAAAAGCAGGGCGAAGGTCCATCGTTTTGGGGTTCTTTCAGCAGAAAACAGAACAGAGATTTATTTCTTCAATATATTAACAGTAACTTTTTACAGAATATTAGGTATCAGGATACATATTTCTGCTTTTGGAAGAAAACAAGTTTTGTTGTCACTGAATAATGAATTACTATTTGATAACCCAGATGTTTTACTTTGAAAGTAAACCAACCACTGAAAAGTATTCTGAGGGACTTAACAACAGGAGGTTAGAGTAATGCTGTTATGCACCTATTTCTCCTTAAAACTTGCTTATAAGATGGCAGTGCAATTTTGAAACAACTTTACTACGTTTGCAGATGACATCAGACTGGGATGAGAGGTAAGCAGTGGCACAAGCACTGGTGCCCAGTAACAAGACAAAATGCAACAGGCAGTAACCTGAAACACAGCAAATTCCATCCGAATGTAAGGAAGAACTTTACTGCGAGGGAGACAGTGCTGGAACAGGCTGCCCAAAGAGCTTGTGGTAACTTGATCCTTCGAGATCTTCAAAGCCTGCCTGGACACAACCCTGGGCTATGTGCTCTGGGTGACCCTGCGTGAGCAGCAGGGTTGAACTAGATGGTCTCCAGGGGTCCCTTCTGACCTTAACCCTTCTGTGGTTCTGTGATATTTCACTCTATTTGGCACTTGCTATTTCATACCTGGAATTGTGTGTCCAGTTTAGGTCCCCCCAGATCAAGACAGACATAGAAAATACTGGAGGGCCAGTAAAATTATTAAAGAGTTGGAGAATTTGATGTATGAAGACAGGCTGAAGGAATTGGGTTTGCCCAGTTCAGACAAGAGGATGCTCAGGAAAAATGTTAACGCTCCAGCTGCACCCAGTGAACAGACACAAGGCAGCAGGCACAAACTGCTTCAGAGAAAATTCTCTCTGGATATAAGAAAAAAAATCTTTACCATGAGAAAAATGAAACATTGGAACAGGTTGTCCAGAGAAGTGGCATAATTTCCTTCTCTGGGTATCTTCAAGAATCAGCCTGACAGGACACCCTGGAAAATCGAAGCCTGGCTTTCCAAGGAAGGTTGGTTAAAAGATCTCGAGGGGTCTCTTCTGATCTACAGCTTGTTTGTTTCTGATTCGGTTTCTCATAACAGACATTTTTCAATACGTGCAATACACAAACACTTCCTGAAGCCGGTACACTCAAACGCAAACATCATTCCTCACTTCTCATTCCAACTTTTCAGAAAAGTTGACTTATATTGCATTTTTTTAGTGAAGCTATGCCTATTTTTATTATTCATCAAACCCTTTCATGATAAACACAATTATTGTCATGCTTAATAGCATCTAAAAGACTGACAAATATATCAGAAGAGTTCCTTATAAATGATTTCCTATACAGAAAGAACAGAAAATGCTGAAGTAAAATTCAACTTTCACTGAAGTCACAGTTGAGTGTGTCAACTTTTCTCCTTTTTTCCCTTTCCACTATTTCTTAACATAGAACTTTTAGTTGCAGTTATAACTTTTAATTGTGCCAGTTAGGACAGTTGCATGGTTGAAAACAATTGTTATTCCCAAATTGTGAACCAAGTTTAACAGCACAGTACTAAGAGTCTCATTAACACCTTTGACTCGAAGGTCTGTTTTTCTCACCATTTAATGTATGTGCTGCATTTGGTCTTTCCATTATATACATACAGCACCTAGCATATTAGGAGCACCCTGAAATTACTAAAATTAAAATAGCAACTTATTATATTTCTCAGCTTCTAAAATTAGTCTTATGAACAAGTCTCAGACAGAAAACCTATTCTTAGATGACTGGCAACTTCTATTCTCTCAAGTTGAGAGAAGAAGATCCTCTATTGAAAAAAGAAATTGTGAACTTGAATACTGAGCAAAAATCACCAGGTATCACGTTGCATTTTTACATGTTGGCACTGATAAAATAAAAGCCTACAACAAAATATGGCATTTTCAGACCATAAGAAGGTAAAAATCACCTTGCTTTTTGCCAGCAATTGTTCTGTTGCTATCATTTTTATAACAATGCCTCACAGGACAAGCCAAAAATGGTAAACACGCATCACAAAACAAAACCGAGCTTCACCCTACAGACGACATTTTAATGTTAATATAGAGAGAGTATCTCAGAAGAAATAAATGAAAGCTGGAGACGTATATACTGTAATTCCTCATAACCCTCAATTATTCTTTTAATTTTATTAATAGCTTATTTTGTTCATTGACTTGTTTTTAGTGTTTTACCCAACTTTTTCTTATTGCTACCTGAGTGAAAGAGAAGGTGTTTTATTTACTTCCACTCTCTTACATACACACCAATGTTAAAGATAATTTAATTAACTAATCACCTCATTCAGGCTTAAGGAGAAAATAATTTAGATCCAAGATTCCTGCTTTTAACTATTTATTGTCTTAGGGTTTTTTTTTCAAGTGATACTAAAATGAAAACTAGATTTCCAAAAAGCTGCTGATCCTTCAATGCCCAAATGTTTCAAAGTTTTCTTTGATTTTTTCTAGGTTTTCTTATATCCTCTTTCATTGCCATGTTTCTACCAACATGTTTCTACCGATCTCACTTAACAGGGATTGTATTTATTCAAAACTACTCTGATTAAAGCAAAGAAAAAGCAACTCTTATTTCTAAATATATGTCAGCATACGTACCCTTGGTGTTGATTGTTTTTGCAGTGACCTCCAGTTTCTCCAGAGGTTCTGTTCCAATGTTTTCTAGCTTAATGATAAGCTGTTGGGTCTCTCCGTTGTAAAGCTGGACAGACACATTAGTGGAGATTTCATCCCCCGAGGGAGGCTGAAGCGTATGAGCAGATCTGCAGAGAGCAATAAATATGTAAACCAAGTATTAGGAAAAACATGTCAAAAGCTTGTTCAAGTTATTATACTCCATTAACCATTCCCTGAAGATTGACAAGCTACTGCTCTACAATCTTGCAAGATATTTGATATCACTTTCCATTCTAATTTTCGCTAGGATCATTTCTTTTAGAGCCATCAAGGATGAAAGGTAATGTGCAATGTATCAGATAATTCCGATTTCAAACAATATAAAATATTTTCTAACTGTGAAAGCTTAATAAAAATTACTGCCAAATTCCTAATAAATTTAATTATTTAAATAGTCCATTTAAATACTTATATGCATTTATTTAAATGAATGTCAGGAGTTGGATTTTAAAATAACCCATGTGTCAAATCAGTTTTTGAAATAGCAGATATGCACAGACCTATGACAGCACATGGATAAAGAAGAATTGAGCAATAACCTTGAACTTCACCGGGATGAAGTAATATGGGAGCTTGGAGAGTGCAGGTTTAGTGGGCAGCTGAGGGCATAAGCCTTACAGGAGTGGATCCTGGAAGAAAATCACTGAGTGAAAGGTGAAACAGTGAATATAAATGAACTATTTAAGGAACCTGGATAGGGGAAGAAGGATGGCAAGACAAGACAGATGGGCAGAGGTTCAATTTCTGACCATATTTTCATGCTACTGCAAAGTAGCCATATGGGATCAAGGATACAAGGGCAAAAGCTACTGAGATTAATGACTGATAAATTTGTTGTCAACCCCCTGTTCAGTAACTTCTCTTGGCATTTTTGCTACCGATTTTTTCTCAACTTACTAGGTGCAAGACAAGCACCTCCACAAAGAAGTATCGCAGCAGTCTTAGCCTTTCAGAAAGTGTCTTTAGCAACAAATAAATAAAATCTGCCTTTTTTTTAATCTTTTAAACCTTGTTGTGATATATGTTTGTCATCTCAACTCTCTGAAGTATGGGCATTATAACAGGCAAAGGGGAGGACAAAGGGAATTTCTTTTTTTCCCTCCATTCTGATACACAAAAGAAAAAAAAATCAAGTGACTGCATATTAACAAATGAAAAGAATGGTTATTTTGACTGTATATAAGTATATAAGAAACGTATATATACTATATACATATATGTATATAAGAAATATAGGCCCTAAGGCAGGGGCTTGAAAAATATTTACATGGAATGACAACAGCCAGAGCAGGGACCTGGCACTGGAGACTCCCCAGCTATTAAAACCTCACCAATGGCCAGGTAAAGAAATGCAGGTGGAGCTGACAAAACCTGTTTTCAGAGGGAATAACATAGGGAACAGAGAATGAATTCCTAACATATGAAAAATGCACCCTATCTACTACATTTGGATGTTAACATGGAGCTGCAAAACAGCGAAGAATTGGCAGGGTGTAACAGCTTGAAGTACTTAAAGTACTTGAAAAGAGTAAAGTGAAAAAAATGAAAAATAAAGCCCTCATGCAAAAGAAATCTAGTTGATGTTTCATGATATCAGCTGAACATTTATTCAGCAGGTGGAAATACTATGGTCATTTAAAAATATCTGCAATTCCCTCCATGTTTCAAATTCATCAATATATTCATAACTTTGGCTATCCAATATTAATTTTGATAACAGTTAAACTACACCTACTGCCATAGATTTTTTTTAATAGAGGATTTATGAACATGTAACGCAATTGTGGTGTTTTATTATTTTGCTGTCATATCAGGATATTACTTCTATATCTTTGTAATATGATGCCATTAGCACATCCCACTCCATATCAGAAGAACAGAATGCAGTGAGGAAAAATAAGAACTAAACTGATTGCTTTACTAAGTAAAGTATATTACAAAACACAACAAAAAACAGGTATATACATCCCCTAGGAAAATTTAGATAACCTAATTCTACAGTAACAAAAATTCAGGCAGGTACATAAAGAGAAAAACAAGTCCCTAAGAAGAATCTTCCTTAAAATGAAATCTTAATCTTCCTGAAATGAGAACAAATCTCCCCTCAGCTTCAGTGAGAACATACGTATAATTTCTAACAATAGAAATTCATGCACAGCGCACAAGGGAGCAGCTCTCTATTTTTTGAAAAGTTCTAAGAACTGAATGAGATCAATGTCTTACCAGCACTTTCATTACTGTGGAATTAGTCACATCCTTTCCAAAATAAACAAACAAAAACCCACTTTAAATGCCTAAAACCCACACACAACTACTCTGTGCTTTTTTGCATGCATAAAGATCATATTTTAGTTAATTCTTGTACTACTTCAATATATAATTTCTGGAGTACTCTTTGGGGATCCCCACTACACAGAAAATACTGAAATACTGCAGCAAGAGCGGATGGCAGGTATCAAAATGGTTAAGGGGCTGGAGTACATGATAAGAGCCAAAATATATAAATTTGCTGGGTGCAAAGAGCTGGCTTGATTCCGTTTGAGAAGGAGGAAGGCTTGAAGGAGATTTTTACTGCTGTTGTCAACTAGCTAAGGACCCTGCGTGTTGGGTTGGACTAGATGATCTCTAGAGGTCCCTTCCAACCTTAACGATTCTGTGACTCTATGACAAGAGATGGCCACGTTCATTGTGCAGCTGTACAGGGACAAATGAGGACAAGTTGCAGGAAGAGAAATTCTCATTGCAGAATTTCACAGGGAAGTTGATCAGACATTGGAAAACATTCCCCTGAGGGGTGATGGAAACAACATCCTTAGAGATATTTGAAACTTGACTAGATATTGTCCAAGTCTTCAACCAAAAAAAAAAAAAAAGAAAGAAAATTTATGTTTTGTATTTCTCATGTAAGGGTTAATACTGATTTTATGCATGACAAGCAAGGGAAGAGACAGAATCCCACTTTGTTTCTCACCTGGGAAGGGAGGTACTGATCTGCAGCCTCGGCAAGGCTGGCACGACTTCGACAGTACAGCCGTTGGTCTTGACTCCTGGCAGGTTGTCCAGAAGGCAGTCACTGAACACGCCAAAAACTGAAGTGTGATAACCTGATTTCACACAGAAAACACCAGCATATTCTGAAATTAATTGGTTTTGACAGGTCTGAATGAACAGAAAGCTTAGCAGGGGGATCTTGCAAGTACTTCCACTACCAAAATCATTACCTTTCATACCACAATATCATACTAGGACACCAAAATTAAAGAGGTTTTCAATCCCCTAAAATTTATAAAAACATCATATCCTACAAAAAACATGTACCTATGTTTTCACATTTATGAAAGGCAAAACTTGAAATAGTCCAGGATTTCCCACTCAGCTTGAAGTTTTCCCTAACCACGAGTCACTGTGTACAGATCACCCTTTTACAACATCACGTCACCTAACCGACTGGTGCACACAAAGATTCTCACCCTTCAACACAAACATTTGTCCATTTCCTCTAAAAAAATTTTAACAAGAAACTGTATCTAGAACCTCAAGTGAAATTCTAAAGCAAATGAATTGTCTAACAAACAAACCAAATCTATAGAATAAAATACACACACACACACACAACATCTCCCTGCGAAAGGCAGCTCGTTAGGTCATGAGGATGGCGTGAGTCTCTTTCCAGGAGCACCCAGAGACAGCGTAGGAGGCAACAGGAAAAAACCAGAACAGAGGCAATTCCTCCTGCACACAAGAATACAACTCTTCACTGTGGCAGTGAAGAATTTTTTAAAAACTATTTTTTTCCACATTTAGAGCCTTCTTCTTTTGGTGTTGAACTTTAGAAGTTTCTTTTTCTGTAATTCTTTATGCCTGGGACAATGACTTAAACTTGACCATCAGTAATACGCTGCAATACTGCTACTTGTTAAATCTGTCATCTTCTCATATATTGCCTCTTTTACGAGACTGATCTGCTAGTCTCCTACAAAAGCTCTTTAATTCTCTTTACTTACACAATTCTATTTGCACTTATTAATGAAATGATATCTGCACTGCAACAGACTACCCACATAAGCTAAATTGCTTCTACACAAGCAATTTACAGAAATTTCTGTAATCTTACATGACCACGGTTAATTGAGAAAAATGAACTGCAAAATTATCTTGTGCATTCTCATGAAGAAGTCTAAGTAATTTTTCTCAGAAGATTTTTCAAATGAAAGCATTAATGAAGGGGAGTTTGAGTTCATTATCCTTCTTCTCTTACACTGGAGATATTATTGTAAATATCTCTTCATTGCTACCATTACAAACAAGTGATTTTTCAGCATCGTGGGCTATGTTCTTAATGAAATCTAGCATAGAAAAGGTTTTTTTCTTTTTTCTCAGGGGGGCTGTTTTACCTATTGAGTAAAATTCAGAGCAGCAAATGTAGAAAAGATACCAACTGAAACTGTGTCACAGACGCTTATACAATACAAAGAGACTTAAAAAAAAATGTAAAGTGTTCTGCTAGGAAGAGAATGGCTAAACATGTTGCTTACCATTGACAGTGATCTGCCCAGTGGTCTGAGGAACTCCAACAAGCGTTACCGGATAGAGACCGGACTCCGCGGGGAGGGGAAGAGCCGCAGGAAGCGATTCAAATTCTAAATCCTGCTGTCAAAAGACCCTGGAAATAAGTCATATTAGTCTCCATTAGGAGAGATAAATACTTATATTTTAATCCTTTACATTGCATCATCAGCAAGCTTTTAGGATTCCCTCAATATTGTCCAAATAGTTGCTTTGGTTTTAAAGTCCTAGTGACTCAAGTGTGCACCTAGAATTACTGCAAGACTTGCATTCAATAGGGAAGCACATGTTCCCAGACCTTTCCACAGTGGGAATACATATGGATTGCAAACAAAAATATCCACCCAGGCATAATACAAACACCAAGAGATATAATCTACAAGATGTTTTTTGTACCTGCATTTAATTGTATCCGCAAATTTATATATTTCATTATATTTTGGACAGTAGAAAACAAACATCAGTGATAGCTATTGCCTATCTTTAATTAACCTTCCTCGCAAAAAAATTTTATCTAGAGGGAGGGAAGATCTGGATTAATTACAGATAGCACAGCCAGTCTAACTTTATCTAACTTAAATGTCTAAATTAGCTGCAATAAGACATTCACCTCGCTAAGCTGACTTATTCAGCCTGGATAGCTGCAGTTAGTCTGTATGATTTGCTCCCTTAATGCATGTCAGAGAAATCTCTAAGCTTCCTGACATTAAAACAAGGGACAAAAACAAGAAATGGAGCCAAAAAATTATTAAATATAAATACAGCATTACTTTCCTGACTAGATTAATTGCTCTTCTAATCTTAATTTATAAGTTTAAGACTTTTGGAAACAGTACGTACTGTTAGAAGTAATATATTTATTGTTGTACTACACTGTGGTTGCTTAAATATTTATTTTTACGACTATATTATCCAGTACTATCCTCTCCAACATTTAATATGGAAAGTGCAACGGAGTTAAACCCCAATTCTATAAAAATGCTTCAAAGAAATTTCAAGAGTCTGTCAAAAATGTAGATAAGATTTTTGTAAAGACAGATACAAATTAACAGCTTCAGCCAAAAAAAGGCACATGGAGGCTGAAGACCAAACAAGAAGCTATCAGTGATAGCTGCAAGGTCACAACTAGCACTTGCTTTTCCTTCATCTTGACCTGCCAGATACATTTAGTTTTCAATGGCCTGACTTGCAAAGGGCCACATAACCCACAAGTCTTCTTCAAGCAGTTCCTAGATAGTGATTAAAATCAATCCCTAATGACCAAAACCAAAATTAAATTCTTCATCAGAATTCTCTCCCTTCTCAAAATACAGTGTTTTGTAGAAAAATTAACCATCACCTATACAATGCATACGATACATAATAAATAAATGTTTTGCATTTAAGATAGTGAACAGGGATATCATGAACAGACTTAAAATATAAGCACGCTCAACACACTTGGCAGGTCCTTGAGTTCTTTTTTGCTTCAGATCTGAAATCACCAACATTCACACAGTGCCTAATACACCCCCAAATTATATATCCTTCATTCTAACAATTATTTCTTTGTAGACTGTTTTTCGCCCAGTTCTACAAACAAGCTTCCACTCACAGCAAATTTCAAGTAAAAACTCATTCTATCATGCTATACTTTCATCACCCAGGATATCAGAGTACTGATGCTTTGAGCTTCCCACTTCATAAATGCAAACTTGATCATTGCCTTCTGTCGGGGCACTTTTATGTAGCTAAAACTCTGGTTTTGCCTTGACTGAAGCAAATCTTAGAACAAACATGAAAGGTCACCCCATATACACTCCAGAACTCACCCTTCAAACAGGTACTAAAGACTTTGTAAAATGATCTCTGGCCCCAAAGCCACTTTATTGAAATCACTCAGGATTCACCTCAATAAAACATTTTGATACAGGGACTTATAGAATCCTAAAAAGAATGATAAAAAATTCAATAAGGGGTTTATTATCAACTATAGAAAGTTATCCAAAGGTAGAGTTGATGGAGAGCTCTCAGTAACTTCTACTTGATCTCCCTGTTCGGACACAGAGGCAGCTCTATGCAAACTATTTCTTACATGTTTATCTAATTGCCAATTTCCTAATTTCTCTCAGCTGTAGTTTCAAAATGATTAGATATTTAACACCGTGCTTAAACAATCTTCCCAGTTCAAACTTTCTCCTAATGCTGAATTATCTTTTGAAAATTAATATACTCACTATTACCTTTCCATTCCTACTTAAGTCTCCCTAATTAATCCAGATATCCAGCGCATACAAACGTATCCCAATTGCTAAGAAACTGGAGCACAGAAGTCTCACTGTGAAACCACAGTTCTCAGATAAGGCACGATCCAAGCAAAGGACATTGGGTTTCAGTAGGACAAGAACCAAGAATAACAAGAGGTCAAGAGCTAGCCAAGCAGGAGGCAAAATTCCTACTCTATATAACCTCACTTCATGGAAAGCTCCTGGTGAGGAGCATCCTCAGGTGGATTCTAGAGCTGCAGATCTAGTACTTCACATGTGCACCCAAAAAAGCCGAGGAGCTTGAACTCTGACATCTTGCACTGTTTAGGGCATTAGAATTTGCCTCCTTTGCCTGACCTAAAACTCCGAAATAACAGACTATTCTCTACAACAGCCAGCACTGCCAGAGTATAGGTTGCAATTTGGGGGGTTCTATTTCAAAACTTAATTTCCCTGCACACGGAGGGGAATTTTGCATCATCTTGCTACTTTCCCCTCTGTATAGGGGTTGTGGATTGAGAAAAAGTAAAAGCATTTTAACCAGGCTGGATTCTAGCACATACATTTACAAATCTTTTTTTTTTCCCCTTGCAGCATCACCAGTGCTTTTGGATAATACAGATCAGTCCCTCATCCCAGCACTGAGACATCCTCCATGATCAGATCACATTGATGAGGGGCATGGGTAGACTTTCCATTGAAAGAATTTTTAGAGTCCTAGAGAGAAAAAGAAAATCATCCCAAGTAGAACCACACACCAGCACAGCCTTAAGAAATACATAAAAAGCACCCACATTTTCACAAATACAGGCTGCCGGATGAGCCAGAATTGCTGGCCAAAACCCCACTATCCTGATGAAGTTTTGATCTATGGCATCTATGAATTCTCCTGTTACAGAGAACTGAGACATGGAACAGACCCAAATTCAACCAGAGTTCCTTGAGGAACTAAAGATCATAGGCATTAAGAATAAAACAAACTGAGAAACATGAAAAATAATGAAAAGCAAAGGTCAGGGAAAGCAACGAACAGAATAGAACAGGCACCCGAGCACTTCTGGAGTACAAGCATCCAAAATAGGAATGTGTTTATGGGCAAGAAGGAATGATTTCATAACACTAGAGCAAAAAAAAAAAAATAGCTAAATGCAGCGTACATTAATCTATAACCCCTGAGATTATATCAAGATGACACCCTGCATCACAGAATCCACAAATACAGCTTCCTGATCACAGAATAATTGATAAAGCAGATTATGGCCCGCAGAAGAAAACACTTTCATTTTCTTATACTGCACTGAAAATTTATTTGTATTCTAAGACATACTTCTACAACAAAGACAGTGAACACCAAGAGATTTTCTAAGAGCAAACTCAATGGAAATGCCAAAACGTGAGCATTAAACTCAGAAAATAACTGTGATACATATTAAATAGTCTCAATTGTAGCATCCCATAAAGGAGGATACATAATTCACTTCTCTTGCTGTGTTTCACAATTCAGTAAAACTTCAAGCTTTTAAGAGTAAAGATAATGAAACCAAAAAGCAAAAGTTCATCAAAAACGGAAAAAAAAGAACCCTAAACTTCAACTGGACTTTGGAGTCCTAGGCATAAATTGAGATCAAGATTCTCATAAAACAATCAACAGTTTTAAAATACAGTGACATACGTAGAATGCCTGTATGACCCATTCAAAATTACTATTTGCTGGACAGCAGAATTCCACAATATTTGCCCAACATTGCCCTCTGCTGCTTAAAATTTTTATAGCACCAGGGACAACCACGTTCAGGTTGAAGTGCTGTCATACCCTTTCCTTAAGCATATCTGATGCACAAAGGGAGGTTGGAGTTAGATTCCTTTTCCCTGTAGTCTTGTACCTTATATCAGTAATAATATTTTAGTAATCATAGCTCTTCTTGATGTTATAGAAAAAGTTTACCTATATTCCACGTTTTCTCCAGGGAAGATATGAATCACCAGAGGAAAAAAAAGATTTATTTCCTTGTACAACCTAAACAACCTAAGAGTCTTAGAGTGAATATATGTATGCCATTATCACAGCCTGTATTTCCATCTCTCAAAAATTACATTTAGTTTTAGAGAAGTAAAACGATTGGTATGAAAATAGTAGCATTTGGTGATGCTGTTAAAAGCATCTGAGTGTGTGCAGTAAATTTTGAATTAAAATCATTCTTTTTTTAAATAACACTGACAACTCATTTTCCCATTGAACATACTTTGCACAATGTTCACTAGCATTTTCGAAGCCTATAAAAAATTTTAAATGTTCTCCTACTATTTCCAGTAAGGTTATTTTATGCAGACACCAAAAAACTATGTTAACCCTTCCCCTCTCCTCTCTGTACATTCTTGCCCAGCGGTTTTTCAATTATATTGATTATGCACAAAGATTTAACAAATTAGCAGATTTCAGATGTTAAACACCAATACCGAAAGTCCTTTTAGGAATTAGTAAATAATATAGCTTGGAAGTTTACCAATAGTTTAACAGCCAGCTATTCTTATACCATCCTTTAACAGAATCATAGAATCATAGAACCATTAAGGTTGGAAAAATATCACTTTTGTGTTATTTTCAAATAAATTTACCCACTAAACAGAATGAAAACTGCAGAATAAGGAGTTTCTTCGGAATAATGAGCTTTAATATCATAAATTACACTACGTCCATGTAGCTACTTTCCCCTCTGTATAGGGGTTGTGGATTGAGAAAAAGTAAAAGCATTTTAACCAGGCTGGATTCTAGCACATACATTTACAAATCTTTTTTTTTTCCCCTTGCAGCATCACCAGTGCTTTTGGATAATACAGATCAGTCCCTCATCCCAGCACTGAGACATCCTCCATGATCAGATCACATTGATGAGGGGCATGGGTAGACTTTCCATTGAAAGAATTTTTAGAGTCCTACAGAGAAAAAGAAAATCATCCCAAGTAGAACCACACACCAGCACAGCCTTAAGAAATACATAAAAAGATTCTTTCTATGATCCCTCCCGCTTTGCTTTATTGGCCAAAATACAAATTTGTTGGATCTACTCACTCCCATATTCCCCAGTTAAACATTTTTATTTGTTACTGTAGGAACAAAATTGCACCTTTCATTGGATTAAAACTCCCACTGCATCAAAAGGAGACATGGAACAGACCCAAATTCAACCAGAGTTCCTTGAGGAACTAAAGATCATAGGCATTAAGAATAAAACAAACTGAGAAACATGAAAAATAATGAAAAGCAAAGGTCAGGGAAAGCAACGAACAGAATAGAACAGGCACCCGAGCACTTCTGGAGTACAAGCATCCAAAATAGGAATGTGTTTATGGGCAAGAAGGCATGATTTCATAACACTAGAGCAAAAAAAAAAAAATAGCTAAATGCAGCGTACATTAATCTATAACCCCTGAGATTATATCAAGATGACACCCTGCATCACAGAATCCACAAATACAGCTTCCTGATCACAGAATAATTGATAAAGCAGATTATGCCCTCAGAAAAAAAACACTTTCATTTTCTTATACTGCACTGAAAATTTATTTGTATTCTAAGACATACTTCTACAACAAAGACAGTGAACACCAAGAGATTTTCTAAGAGCAAACTCAATGGAAATGCCAAAACGTGAGCATTAAACTCAGAAAATAACTGTGATACATATTAAATAGTCTCAATTGTAGCATCCCATAAAGGAGGATACATAATTCACTTCTCTTGCTGTGTTTCACAATTCAGTAAAACTTCAAGCTTTTAAGAGTAAAGATAATGAAACCAAAAAGCAAAAGTTCATCAAAAACGGAAAAAAAAGAACCCTAAACTTCAACTGGACTTTGGAGTCCTAGGCATAAATTGAGATCAAGATTCTCATAAAACAATCAACAGTTTTAAAATACAGTGACATACGTAGAATGCCTGTATGACCCATTCAAAATTACTATTTGCTGGACAGCAGAATTCCACAATATTTGCCCAACATTGCCCTCTGCTGCTTAAAATTTTTATAGCACCAGGGACAACCACGTTCAGGTTGAAGTGCTGTCATACCCTTTCCTTAAGCATATCTGATGCACAAAGGGAGGTTGGAGTTAGATTCCTTTTCCCTGTAGTCTTGTACCTTATATCAGTAATAATATTTTAGTAATCATAGCTCTTCTTGATGTTATAGAAAAAGTTTACCTATATTCCACGTTTTCTCCAGGGAAGATATGAATCACCAGAGGAAAAAAAAGATTTATTTCCTTGTACAACCTAAACAACCTAAGAGTCTTAGAGTGAATATATGTATGCCATTATCACAGCCTGTATTTCCATCTCTCAAAAATTACATTTAGTTTTAGAGAAGTAAAACGATTGGTATGAAAATAGTAGCATTTGGTGATGCTGTTAAAAGCATCTGAGTGTGTGCAGTAAATTTTGAATTAAAATCATTCTTTTTTTAAATAACACTGACAACTCATTTTCCCATTGAACATACTTTGCACAATGTTCACTAGCATTTTCAAAGCCTATAAAAAATTTTAAATGTTCTCCTACTATTTCCAGTAAGGTTATTTTATGCAGACACCAAACAACTATGTTAACCCTTCCCCTCTCCTCTCTGTACATTCTTGCCCAGCGGTTTTTCAATTATATTGATTATGCACAAAGATTTAACAAATTAGCAGATTTCAGATGTTAAACACCAATACCGAAAGTCCTTTTAGGAATTAGTAAATAATATAGCTTGGAAGTTTACCAATAGTTTAACAGCCAGCTATTCTTATACCATCCTTTAACAGAATCATAGAATCATAGAACCATTAAGGTTGGAAAAATATCACTTTTGTGTTATTTTCAAATAAATTTACCCACTAAACAGAATGAAAACTGCAGAATAAGGAGTTTCTTCGGAATAATGAGCTTTAATATCATAAATTACACTACGTCCATGTACTGTATGGGGGTAATATATTTTTATTTTCTCAATATTCATTTTTTAATACAGTAGATACCATTGCCTTCCACAATAAATGTAGCATTTTTGAGCTCACCCTACAGTATTAAATGCACCTTTGCCTTTAATAAAAAATCTAAAACATCAAAGATCAACTACTTTTTTCTTCTTTATTTTTCCAAGACACTTAGCACTGTATCCTCATATGCATTTTTATTTAATAGTAGATCTCAGCAGACTTTACCATGATTTACAACTTTAAATGTTTTTTTCGCAAGACAGAAAATAAATTAATGAAAGAAGTCCCAGAATTTTGTACTTTTCTGAAGTCCTGAAAGCTGAAAGCTAGTCCTCATTGGGAACAAGAAAGAGTAGAGCCTAGAGATATATATATATGAATATATACACACCCATAGGGATACGTATTTGAACAAATCTAAGCAGAAAATAATATTCCTGAAAAAAAAAAAGGTATATACATTTTGGTTTCACTACTAGGATGGCAAAAATATCCTAATCTCTCTAAGACAAAATAATTCGGTTTATTTGTATCTCTCTCCCTATGTTGAAGTAGGATATCTGCTATGTTTTACTAAGCATTCTTTCTATGATCCCTCCCGCTTTGCTTTATTGGCCAAAATACAAATTTGTTGGATCTACTCACTCCCATATTCCCCAGTTAAACATTTTTATTTGTTACTGTAGGAACAAAATTGCACCTTTCATTGGATTAAAACTCCCACTGCATCAAAAGTAATACATGATATAGGAAAGTATAGAAGACACGCATATAAAAACAGGTATATAAATATTAATTTTTCTAAGGAATACCTCAACAGAACTACACAAATTTGACATAAACTCTGCAACTGTTGC